AGTTAGCGTGATCCATGGAGTGATTGTCATAATTATAACATCATATTAAAACTTTATTTAGTGGAAACACATTGACCAAGCCCGGATTCTTATTTCAGAAATTATTACGCGGATCAAGCTGCAAGCATGGAGGTAAAAAAAAAAAACAGAGGTGTGAATTCGACATTCAACGCAAACCACCAAACGATTCAGAAACTTTTAGCCTTCGAAAATGAAAACAATTAGCAGTGTGTGTGTCTGTTTGTCCGACGCTTCGTTTTCATGTCACTGTCGAAATTATTGCTACCTTTTACTTAACAGGAACTAAATGGTCTCTATAAAACGATAATCAGGATCGCAAAAAAGTCAACTCATTTGAAACACTTGCCGGACGTCTCTCTCTTCTGAAATCCGCCTCGGTGATCATGGTCCGGAATCTATTTCTTTCAAAAGTGTTGCGCCAGGTTTATGTTGTCGGCGTTTCTCTTTAAACCTAGTTTTTTTTTCATGGACGAAGACAGTTTTTCCAAAAAATGAATCTGAGGTTAAGTGGCTTTCGTCCACTGATGTCACACCTTCGGATCGATTAGAAACGTGTGAATACTTACACTATGACTATACGTTTCACTGCAACTGCCCACAACACAACACAACATCTAAAAACTCTCTCTCTCAAAAAAAGAAAATAAACAAAAAAAGAAAGAAAAAAAAACGCCGACTGAAAAATGTATATCGTTTAAAAGTATACTGAATGACCAGTGTTATTACGGCTCAGGGTATGACTTCCTCTCACATTTTGGCATTTGGTGGCGCACTTTCGGCGAGAGTCGGAAATCCGGAAACAGTCGACCGTTTCAGGATAGGTGGGCGTGGCTACAACACGAGAAATATTCCAAATTTTCTTGGATACGAGTAATCATTTTCAGCAAAAAAAATCAATAACTGCCCATTTCAGTCGGATACAGATCTAAAATGGGAAACGTGAGGGTGGGCATTGCACAGGCACTTTAAATATAAAAAAAAATACGTTAGCGCAAACCCAACATTCTTATTTTATCGGCAACATACACTTGTTACTCTTCTAAGATTTCAGGCAAATTATTTATCTGTGTGTGTATTTATTGCAATAGCGTAAATGAAAATGTTTTCCCATAATTCAACAAATATTATGTTATAATGTACACCAGGATGAATGTACAATGTGCCACACATTGCTGTACCGTTGTTGCTTTCCCAGTGTACTCTGAGTCGTATGGTACACCAGGCTCACTCACTGCAGGCCCATTTACTATTTACGGGTGTGGACTATATGCCAGTGTACCCAGAAGCACTCACATACCACCACAATTATGTCACCCATAGTAATTTAGTAGATTGAAATGTTGGTCGGTTGTCATTTACTATTTCGGAACTTAAATACTACAAAGATAGCCCGTATTAGATAAGAGATACTGGTCATCAACTTTTTGCAAAAATGCTGTGTTAGTTCCCGACAAAATGCTAAATTTGATAGTGAATTATAGTATAATAATGTTACTATAGTGAAATAATTATTTTTCGTGTTTTCATGTAGGTTAATCACTGTACCATCACGCATACGTATATTGTGCGCTAGCGCTGATAAAAACCACACATACTTAATGGAGTAAATAAGACACGTATCTCACCGGGTACTACAGCTATTCCTGAATTATATCCAAAACTGTCTTGGTGTAAAAGCACATCGGTGTCCGCCAGCGTTGAGGGGAGGTCGTCGTGTGCGACGGGTGGACGTAACTGTAGGTCTAAGATATCTACCTCGCTGTCGGAGGATTCATATCCCCCGCGGTCATTGCGGTGATCAAAACTCCAGTCGTCGTGATTTGAAATCAGATTCCTATTAGCCATGATGAATACTTTGCCTTGACAAGTCAAGTATTACCGTCACCGTTGACATAAATCGTAACCTAATTTGTCATGATAACTTGCCAAGGAATTCGTATAGGTAATACTTTTAAGGTGTCTCAAGCGTATGTCCAAGTTCATGACTGGCCATGAACACCACGCAATTCTATATGTATGGTGAATATAAAACCTTGGTTATCTTTGGTTATCACCTGATGTTTTTTACAAACTGATCTTTGATCTTTTCAAGCGTTTTAAACTTTGACCTCCAGTTTATTTTCGTACCCAGTAATAATAAGGACATATACCTCGCGGTCATCTATAGTGGTGCGCTGTTAGTCCTTGACTAGGTTCAAGTCTCTTGTCCGCTGCGGTGACCCTGGTATAATAACAAATACCGTTGAGTGAAGTATAACAGTCTCGAGACTGAAAAAAGAGTCTAAGTTATATAGTCCATGTTGCAATGCGTTCATGACAGTATCATGTTGGTTTCCGATACGGCAGATCAGAGTGTAGTACATAGACAGACAAATGAGTGTTATGTTTTCTTTATTTTCATCAAGATATTTTAAAGGGCGGCAATCGCCGTGCCGCGTCCTGTTCGATGTGGGACTCATAGTGACGTATACAACGCGTGTAAAATACATTGTTTATTTACATGAAATTCGAACACGAGCTGCGCGACGACCACCGCGCTTTAAGTGTTCTTTTTTTAATTTTGATTTCTTTCAGGCTGTCAACCGATATCATTTTACTCAAAGCGTCAACGTTTAACTGTGTGAGATAACAGTTCTTCGCAATCATTCAAATTCGCGATTACCGCAATTTGATTATGCAAACTAAATCATCAATATACATAATACTTGAAAAACACTGCACGTGATCAAAATACGTCATATTTATACTGAACTGTGAACTAGTGCATCTGTTCTATACATAATGGTATTAAATAAACCAGGACAAAAGCAAATTCAGATTTGTTTTAATTTGAAATACTGATAACTAAGCAGACTAATATTAAACAATGAATGACACCAATACTATGTTTATTGAAAATTTGTTTTTTAGTTCTGTCAGTCGTTGTTGTGATCACCCGACAGACACTGGAACTGTGGGATTCTATAACATCAAATAATGAATATTTTTTTCATTTAATAGCAGATATATAGTATATGTACATCAGACGCAAATCAGTTAGACATTATTTTCACCAAATATCAGAAAGCAATGCAAGTTCGGGCCACTGAAATCACGACTGACTTTGATGTCATGGCATTTATTTTGCGATCAGCACCAAATAAATTGAATATGCCGAATTAAAACAGAGAATAGTGATCACACTTTTATATTTGAATATAATATTACAGTATTTCTATCGGGTAAAGCACAGTATTATGGAAAGTCTATGACGTCATGACGTCAGGATAAAGCATGTACGTGAATCAGATTTGCATATTGCGCCCTCTGTGTCGACGGGGCGACGCCTACTGCAAACAGTGCATCAGTTCCATGCATAAAAGTATTAAATAAACCGGGACATCTATTTACTGACACATCTTAGATTTTGGTAATCTTTTAATTTAATAAGAATGTATCATAAATCTGCTGCCATTTAAATTTTTAATGTGCACATACCCAAGCATTAGAGTGTAACTGGCTGACAATCAGTGTCGCCTTTTTGTGCTGGCTATGCGGCGTTTAAAGGG